CTCCCCTCTTCTCCTCTCTCCCTTCTTCTTCTTCCTTCTGCTCTCCCTCTCCCTCTTTTTCTTCCTTCTCTTCTTACACTTTCCTGCCTTTCCCCTCCTCCCCTTCCTTTCCTCCCTTCTCTTTCTCTATTTCCTCCTCCTCTTACTCTCCCCTTCCTGTTCTCTTTCTTCCTTCTTTCTCTTCCCTCCCACTCTCCCCCACTTTCCCTCTTACTTCCCTGACCCCTGGTGATGTTGTAATCTCCCAGCTTCAAGACTGGCCCCAGCAGCCTGACTGCTCCATCAGCTGTGGCCCCAGCCCTGGCCCTGGCCCAGGTCTCCCTCTCTCTGCAGCTGGCAGGGGCTGGTAGGCTCCCGGAGCAGGGAGGGGTTAATCATGGGAGAGTGGTGTGGCTGAGGGGGACAGGACACACTGACCTTTGTAATCTTTGTTCTGTCACCTCACATGAAAAGGCCTAATCCAAGCCTGTGATCTTCCTCTCTGGTATCCCCCTCTCCCCTGCCACTGCTAAGCTGTGTCAAGGACCATCCTTCTCTCCCTTCCCCAAACCCACAACCATTTTGATATCCTCATCTCCTGTGAGTTCAGTGCACTGGTTGTCCAGGGCAGCAGCTCCTCCGACCACCTCTCTTGTTCTTCTCTTCCTTCCTGTGACCAATCTCTGGTCCTCATATGGGTCCCTCAAAGCTTTGCCCCTGAACTATTTGAGCTTGTGTCCCTCTCCCTGCCCTCATCTGTCCTACCAGCAATGGCTGGAGTGCTTTCCTGCTCCATGTCCCTGTCGGGGCAATAATATGTGATCCCTTTCCTTTTCATCACCAGGGTCATGCCCAACACTCCTGGAACAAAAGACAGGTTAACAAGAGAAAAGCAGAATGAACTAATTTAATCAAGGTTTTCTGTGATATGGGAGCCTTCAGACATGAAGACTGATAGGAAACTTTCAGAAACATAGAAAAGAAAACTTTCTATGTTTAGGTTTGAGGACAGCTGTGCAGAAATGTGATTGGACAAAAGGGTGTGAT